GGCAGCCTGCACATCAAGTTGGGATTACTGGGGTACAAAATCTGCTCTGCACAAAAGGCAGTGAGCCGTCTGGAAGTGCGTCCTTTCTCTCTGCTCTGGCACTCCTTGTGCGGTTTTTTATTTGACTGATAGGGTCTTGCTTGCGCATTTAGCCTCTTTGGTTTACTCCTTTCCACCTTGGCTACCTCATTCGTATTTTGTACCTGCAGCCACTTATTACTGGAGTACACAAATGGGTAGCATTGAACAGAATAAGCAAAAACATGTTGCAAATAAACAGATGGTCGAAGCCCACTGCTTTCTGGGCACTCGGGGAGTGGGAGTTTGGGAGAGGGGGCTTAGTAGAATATTCTCTACCTGCTCTGTTCAGTCGAAAGCAGCTTCGGTGTGTCCAGTCCAGTATTTCCTCTAAGCTGAGTTAGTGTATGGGCGAAGCCCACTGCTTTCTGGGCGCTCGGGGAGTGGGAGTTTGGGAGAGGGGGCAAGCGCCACGCCTCTCCCTGTGTCCGTTGGGGATGCTTCTGAGAGCAAAGGCTCAGAGCTGGAGACCCGGCGCAGTGAGTCACTCGACTTCCTCTTTTGCGTGTGGTGAGTGCAGCGGAGTTAAAATCGGATTGCGCCACCCACATGACTCCAGAGCACCTCTTGCAAGCAAGAAACGGTATCTTTTAAATGCTGGCCCCTCTCGCTTTGAAAAGAGAACCTGCAACGGCCGAAGCTGCTGTAGGAGAACATATGCGAAGCTGGCATCCCCCTCTCAGAGAGCCATTTTGGTGTAGTGGTTACCTTAGAGGGAGCATTGGTCCAGTGGTGAGGAAGGATGTATTGAGCGTTGTCCCAGCACAGCGCAAGCAGAGGAGGAGGGCGCCTGCTTCGTTTTTTGCTTTCTTTGAAGCAGTCAGGGACTCAAGCCACGTGAGCATGAGTGTTGGGGGGAGGCGGCACTACGTGTTGGTGCATTTCCTCGGCAAGCAGGCTCTGTCTGAAAGACCTCAAGCATCTTCCCCAGACCTTGCCATCAATGCCCCCTCTAAGCTGTGGAGTCTTGGGAGCAAAAATTCTCCCTTGAATTCTCCCTTGTGAGCCACTAGCATGAAGGTTGCGAGCGAGCGATTTGGCTACTGCATAAATTAGTTTGCTCTGGAGCTGTCCTTCCCGAGCGGAGACAAAAATGTGTGAGCCGGAGGCTAAAAAACTGTGAGTCAGCTCACACTAACTTGGCTTAGAGGGAACACTGCTTGCCATGTGATTGCTTCTAAACCAGTCTCGAGAATAAAAGCCTTAAGAGCACCACAAATGGAAAGACTCGGAACAAACGTGGAGTCATAGAATCATAGAATGTTAGAGGGTCTGATTCAGTCGGAGGCAGCTTGATGTGTAAAAGTCTTACGCAGTTTGGGAGGGGCTGTGGCTCATTGGCTTGGTTTGCAGAAGGGCCCAGGACCAAGCCAGGAGGTGATGGGAAAGACCTCAACCTGAGACCGTGGAGAGCCACTGCCAGTCTGAGTAGAGTAGACTGACCTTCATAGAATCCTAGAATGTTAAGAGTTGGAAGGGACCTTGCAGGTCATCTATTCCAGCCCCCTGCACTCTGCAGGAGCACAGCCAAAAGAGAGCCCTACAACATCCCGAAAAATGGTCGTCCAGCCTCCGCTTGAAAACGTCCAGCGAAGGAGCCTCCACCCCCTCCCGAGGCAGACTGTTCCACTGCTCAAACACTCTTACACTTAGGAAGTTTCTCCTGATATTTAGCCGGTAACGACTCCCTTGTAATTTCCACCCATGAGATCTAGTCTTGCAATCCAGAGCAAGAGACAATAGATCTGCTCCATCTTCTACATGACAGCCCTTCAAATACTTGAAGACTGCAATCATGTCCCCTCTAAGCCTTCTCTTTCCCAGGCTAAACATACCCATCTCTTTCAGCCTTTCCTCATAAGACTTGGATTCCAACCCTCTCACCATCCTGGTCGCCCTCTTCTGGACATGCTTGCGCTTGTCAACATCCTCCCTCCAGGTGGGGCCTGACCATAGCAGAATAGAGCGGAACTACCACCTCCCGTGATCTGGACACAGTGCTTCTGTTAATGTATCCTAAGATTGTTCTCAAAACCGGGCTGGCCAACCCAGGCAGGGAACCGGTGGTGTCGCACGGGGGGCGGGGGTGGGAATATTCCCAGGTCGCCATTGAGACACGTTGCAGCTTGACGCATGTGGCCCACGTCCCTTTGCAAAATCTCAGTGCTCAGCGCCTCGGTTCCGGCAATGGAGTGCGCTAGAGGCAGGGAGCAACCCGGCTCGGGCCAGCCTGGTTTCTGGAAATATTCCCAGGTCGCCACTGAGACAAGTTGCAGCTTGACGCATGTGGCCCATGTCCCTTTGCAAAGTCTCAGTGCTCAGCGCCTTGGTTCCGGCAGTGGAGTGCGCTGGAGGCAGGGAGCGACCCGGCTCGGGCCAGCCTGGTTTCTGGAGCGTGGGACCGACATAAATAGCCGCCCACTGGTGTTCCTTGCAGCCAGCAGAGCACTCTGTATGGAGAAGAACCCGCTGTTCGTTTTAAGGCCATTATGGGAAACAGGCACTTTAATGAGCCCTTTCCAAAGAAGGGCGAAGCGGCTGCAATCAATATCAAGGCCGTTCAGATGCCCGGAAGCGGGTACACGGCACTCTCCATTCCATCAATACATCCCCTTTTAAAGTGCCGCCGTAATTGATGCCTATCTGGCAGTCTGGCACTTTGGTGCAAACCCGCGCGGCTGTGTAGGCTTGTAATGGTAGCCCCTCTGACGTGATCCTGAACCAATCTGGTGTAGTAGTTGAGTGTGCAGACTCTACTCTGGGAGGACCGGGTTGAGGGTACACGGCACTCTCCATTCCATCCCCTTTTAAAGTGCCACCGTAATTGATTCCTATCTGGCAGTCCGGCACTTTGGTGCAAACCCGCGTGGCTGTGTAGGCTTGTAATGGTAGCCCCTGTGACATGATCCTGAACCAATCTGGTGTAGTGGTTAAGTGTGCAGACTCTAATCTGGGAGGACCGGGTTTGATTCCCCACTCCTCCACTCGCAGCTGCTGGAGGACCTTGGGCAAGCTGTCGTTCTCTCAGAGCTGTCCTTGAAAAAGAGCCGTTTCCGTCAGAGCTCTCTCAGCCCCACCTCCCTCACAGGGTGTCTGTTGTGGGGAGTGGGAGGGAAAGGAGATTCATTTCTACCCCACGTTTTTCCCCCAAGGGGGACCCAGGGTGGCTTACGCAATTCTCCCCTCTATTTTATCCTCACCACAACAGCCCTGCGAGGTAGGCTAGGTTGAGAGTGTGTGACTCGCCCAAGGTCTCCCAACCGGCTTCCGTGGCATGCATGAGGATTTGAACCTGGATGTGGGGAGGGGAAGGGAAAGGGGATTGTAAGCCGCTCTGAGACTCCCAGTGAAGGGCAAGGGGTATAATTCCAATCTCTTCTTCTTCTCCTTCTCCACCCCTCTCTTCTTGCAGCCTGGGATAGTGTCCCCTTTCAAGCGCGTCTTCCTGAAAGGCGAAAAGGGCCGGGACAAGAAGGCGCAGGAGAAGGTGACGGAGAGGCGGCCGCTGCACTCGGTGTCCCTCTCCTTGCCCGACCGGGTGGAGCCAGACGTCCTCCTGAACGACTACATCGAGAAGGAAGTGAAGGTAGAGCGACTTCCTGTTCTTGGGCAGCTGGGCAGTTTGACACGCACACGGTCTTTGCCTCCAGGTCCCGGGCCGGGAGACCTGCTGGCCTTTAGGTGAGAGCCAGTCTGGCGTAGTGGTTAAGTACGCGGACTCTAATCTGGGAGAACCGGGTTTGATTCCCCACTCCTCCACTCGCAGCTGCTGGATGACCTTGGGCCAAGTCACAAGCTCTCTCAGAGCTTTTCTTTCACGAGCGGTCCTCAAAAGAGCTCTCTCAGCCCGCCTACCTCACAGGGAGTCTGTTGTGGGGAGGGGAAGGGAAAGGAGTTTGTAAGCCGCTCTGAGACACCTTTGGGTAGTGAAGGGCCATGGGGTATAAATCCAATCTCTTCCACTTCTTCTTCTAGGTGGTTTATTTATTGGTCTGAGTGCTTCATTTCTACCTCACATTTTTCCCCAAGGGGTGACCCAAAGTGGCTTACACAATTTCCCTCTCTGTTTTATCCTCACCACAACAGCCCTGCGAGGTAGGCTAGGTTGAGAGTGTGTGACTCGCCCAAGGTCTCCCAACTGGCTTCCACGGCACAGATGAGGATTTGAACCTGGATGCCCCGGATTCCAGTCCCACACCGTAGCCACTTCACGACGCTGGATCCCACGCCCCTGTTCTGGTTCATTTAGGAGTAGCAGCCCGGAGGGTTCACCTGCACTGCTGGGGTCCCACGTGCCCCCCTTTCCATGGGGAACTCGCCCGAAAGCCTTAAAATATATATTTTCTAGTCCTTGGGAATTGAAGGCTGCCTCTGTTCATCCCCATTTCTGTATCTTTCCACTTGTGATTGGGAGGCTGGAGAGAAGCCTGCCTGCCACGTTTCCCTCCCTCCCTCCCTCCCTCCCTAGGAACTCTTGGAGTGGCTTAGCTAGAGATGTAAAATTTCTGAAAATTTTGAAGCTCGGAAAAAACACCCGGGGTTTTTCTGGTTTTTTTCGGGGGGAAACAGAAATTTTTGGAAAAATTGAAAAAATGCTACATTAGCATTTTTTTTGTCTTTTCTAGATTGAAAGTCATTCTGTTACTTTAGGAACATAAAATATGACTATGGACATTTTTACTTGGCATGAAATTATCACAACTAGCATATTAAAAATATAGTGTATCCAAACAATTATTGCAAACAGAATACCCACCCACATGCAAAAACAAATCTGAAACCTTTTTCTTTTCTTGTGACAACAGCACCTCCTAAAGGAAGAAATGCATCTTGTTCTTGCATTGGAGAGTTCAGTTGGTAACCTAGGACTTGCTTGTCCTCCGTGCACAGAAATTAGATCAATCTGACACCATACATATTTTTTAGAAATGATTTGGAAAATATTGCTATGTAGATCTAGAGTCATATGAAGAGTGGGTGGTAGAGAGAGAGAGAGAGAGAGAGAGAGAGAGAGAGAGAGAGAGAGAGAGAGAGAGCGCAACTGGCCACAGTTCACCCAGTAAGCTTCATGCCAAGTGAAGATTTGAACTCAAGTTCTCCCCAGTATCCACAGCACGGTGGTGTAGTTAGAGTGGCACACTAGGGTCTGGGGAGCCCAGGTTTGAAGTAAAATTTTTTAAAAAACACAGTGCCATGGGAGCTCACTGGGTGACCTGGTAGGCCCGTCACTCAGCCTAACCTACCGCGCAGGGTTGTTGTGGCGATAAAATGGAGGAGAGGAGAATGATGTCAGCTCCTGTAGGTACTAACTGGGGAGAAAGGTGGGGCATTAACCAAGTAAATAAAACCACCACTACCCCACACGGGCTCTGGGGTCATATTTTATCGGAACGCTATAAAGGTAGTAGCATAGAAACTAACAGCATACTGCAGTAAAAATTATGGTAAAATCTTAAAACCAAGACGTGTTCCTAACCCCCAGAAACCTGTCTGAATGGATTCTTTTCCTGAACGCCCGTCGGCTTCAGTTTACACAAAGCTCCTTTAGTAGTCTATTAAAAAAGAAAGAAAAGATTAGGTCATTTCCTTCTCTGTATCTTTTACGCGCACCCATGCTCCTGAAAATGTGAAGGGGGTGGGGGGCACCCTTGAAAAGCAAAACTGGCCTGCTTCTATTAAATGCTTGGAGGGGTGGAACATTTCTCAGGGAGGCTCTAGGGCCAGAGGTGTCGAACTCATTTCTTATGAGGGCCAGATGTGACATAAATTGAACCTTGTCGGGCTGGGCCACGTGTGTCATAAAATGTAATGCCCGGTAGCGGAGATATAAACTCTGACACACACGGCCCAGCCCGACAAAGTCCAATTTATGTCACATCTGGCCCTCATAAGAAATGAGTTCGACACCCCTGCTCTAGGCTGATCCTGCCCTTAGCAGGGGGTTGGACTAGATGGCCCCTGTGCCCCCTTATTTATTTATTTATATATTTTAGTATTCGATTTATAGCCCTCCCTCCCTGCAAGCGGGCGGTTCACAGACTGGGCACAGATGCCAATAATGAAAACAGTTAAAAATAAGAGAAAACATTCATTTATAGTCATTTATCACGATACAAGGTGCTCTTGGTGTCTCAGAAAGGTCTTCAGTCACAGGATGGCATCTTGGTGGTGATGGTCCCAGATCGATGATATCAGTTCCAGGCAGCGCTGTCGTTCATTTGTCACAGGGCCAACTCACCCCCCCCCCAATGTTGCCCAGCCCAGTTGTTGTTGGTGCAGCGGTGACGGCTCCTACTCGAAAGCCTGGCGGAAGAGCTCCGTCTTACAGGCCCTGCGGAACTGCACAAGGTCCCGCAGGGCCCAGATCTCCTCCGGGAGCTCATTCCACCAGGTAGGAGCCACCACCGAAAAGGCCCTGGCCCTGGTTGCTGTAAATCTGGCATCTTTGGGGCCTGGAGTCACCAGGAGATGTTGCGTCCCCGACCGTAGTGCCCTTGGGGGAACATATGGGGAAAGGCGGTCCCTCAGGTATGTCGGACCCTGGCCATATAGGGCTTTAAAGGTAAGAACCGGCACTTTGAAGCGGATCCGGTACGCTATTGGCAGCCAGTGCAGCGCTTTCAGCACAGGCCGGATGTGCTCCCGCCTAGAGAAACCCAACAACAGCCTGGCTGCAGCATTCCAACTCCGTGATTCTGTGACTGTGTAGAGAGAGGCGTTCTGCCTCTGTGCATTCTGAACGTCGCACTGCTTCTCATTTGGAGGGCTTGGGGCCAAGGGCTGCACTCGTCTCTCTCACTCAAGATCTTTTTTTTCCTTGCTTTCCAGTATTTAGGACAATTGACGTCTGTTCCGGGGTACCTGAATCCTTCCAGCCGTACCGAAATACTGCATTTAATAGACAATGCAAAGGTGCGTACGGCTTCACTCGGGCATCAGTATTGAATCTGGGGCTCGAGTCTCTCCCCTTTAGGTCTGCGGATGTGTCCTTGTGCAGGAAGAGCATAAAGGGGCAGGAGAATTCTTTCAGAATCCCAAGGAAGAGGCTTGTGTGAACCGGGAGCTTCACTCTCCGCTCTTCTGCCAAAGTCTATTGGGGCTCAAGGCCTCAAGTTGGCAAGGAGCAACTTATTTTACTTTATCAGGACTGCAAGACGGACCGCAGGGCCTGCAAGATGGAGCTCTTCCGCCAGGCCTTCAATTAGGAGCTGCCCACATTACCATCAGCGACCACTATTAATATCTGTGGTGGAGGCTGGCTGTAGTGAGTTTGAACCAATAGGCTTAGGCGCCTGTAATTGCCTGAGCCTGCATGACATGTTAACGCCATCTTGGTTAATAATCACTGAGTGCACTTTATTCGGAAATCGTCGATTATTTAAATGTTTTAACAGTGTTAAAAGGAGCTGCGGTGGCTCAAGTGGTTAAGACGCTGAACTGCAGGCTGTGGAAGGTCAGTAGTTCAGCAGTTCAAGACCCGGATTGCCGCATGACGGAGTGAGCTCCCGTCTCTAGTTCCAGCTCCTGCCAACTTAGCAGTTCGAAAGCAAGAAATTGCAAGTAGATAAATAGGTACCACTTCGGTGGGAAGGTAACAGCGTTCTGTGCGCCTTGGTGTTTAGTCATGCCAGCCACATGACCACGGAAACGTCTTCAGACAGCGCTGGCTCTTCGGCTTGGAAACGGAGATGAGCACCGCAACCCTAGAGTCGGACTCGACTGGCTTTCGAGCAAGGGAACCTTTACTTAACAGTGTTAAATGTTTTGATTGTATATGAACCTTGGCACACTGTGGCAGGCAGCGTGAGCCGCCCTGAGCCCGCTTGCGGGGAGGGCGGGTTATAAATACAACAAATTAATTAATTAATTAAAGCACTCTGCACTTTAAAAGCTCACCTCTTCAGCCTCCAGCAGAGTTTATTGAAGACGATTAAAAGGGAAGTAACTAACCACTGTACCGTAACAGTCAGTAAACAAATGTACCACAGCATCCACAAAGTTTCATGCTCTCAGACCCACATGATCTGGAAAGCGAGTTAGCTAGCTCTAAAGAAAGGCATCCGATATTAAACAACCTGCCCACCTCTCAAGGCCAAGTAGCTAATTATTATTTGCAGGTGTAGAGCTCTTTAAAAAAAACCCAAGGTCTTCAACTAAAACAGTTCACGGGGCTGGAGCTGAAACAACTTAGAGTCTCTATTTCAAATTAATCATCTAAAAACAAAAACACATACTACTTCCGTACAAGGCTCTCCAAGGGTCTTTTATGTAAAACGTCGGCTGCTTTTCTTCCTTACGGAGCCCAAGGCGGCTTGCAGCATAACTAAAACCCATAAAAATAAAAAACCAGTAAAAACCAAAGTTTAGAATCACAACTCAGAAGAACTGCTTAGTAAACTTAACCAAATGCAGTCCCGAATAAAAACCGCCTCCCAACTGCCTCCGAAAGATCGCAGGTGAGGGGGCCAGGTTCCCCTCCCTGGGGAGGTGGTGGTTCCGTAATCGTGGGGCTGGCACCGAAAGGGCCCTCTCTTATGTAGCCACCAGAGGAGTGTCTTTGGGTCGATGGGACAGTCAAGACAGCCTCTCCCCCCCATGATCTTAATTCCTGGGCAGGAAAATACAGAAGACAGTACTTCTTCCTTTTTTAATGTGTCTGCTTGCTTCATGCCCCAGAATGTGTGTGTGTTTATTTGGGGGGGTGGGGGGGCTTTTCTGACCTGATTTCTGTACCACCTTAGAAGATGCAAGGGAGGGCCCCCGGGGGCCCCCCCCCCCCCGGTAAAATCTTTCACTGCATTTCTGGCTTCTGCCTTTCTCAGAAAATGTTGTTTTTCCCCAGCAAATTTTGCGGTTGGTTGCTATCTCTTTCTCTTTCTCTCCCTTCCCCCAGAGAGCACATCAGCTTCCAGGGCAGCTGACCCCAGAGCACGACGCGGTGATCAGTTTGTCAGCCTACAACATCAAGCTGGTGTGGCGAGATGGCGAAGATATCATTCTCAGGGTCCCCATCCACGACATCGCGTCGGTCTCGTACATCCGGGACGACTCCTCGCACTTGGTGGTGTTGAAAACAGGTAGGCCGGGACCGATTTGGGGGATCTGTCTCTGTCAGGTGCCTTGGTGCGTCCGTCAGCCTTTGTCGCTCCACTCGGGGGAGGCAGCTCAGGTGGAGGAGGGGGATGTGTGTCCCCTGGAATCTCTCTCCTTCAGAAGTTCCGCAGGGCCTGCAAGACGGAGCTCTTCCACCAGGCTTTTGGCTAAGGAGCCGCCACCGCCAATAACACCGCCACCAACCTCATCGTTAGACAGAGCCCTGTGCCAGCCGCATATATATGCTAAAGATCGAGAAGCTGATGAGCAAGGCAGGCCAGAGATCATGTTAACATAACTGTTGCTGCCATCCCTGATGTAACTAGCTAGCACTCTATGGGGGGCTGTGGTGGCTCAAGTGGTTAAGACACTGAACTGCAAGCTGGAAGGTCGGTAGTTATTTATTTATTTATTTTCATTTATACCCCGCCCTCCCCGCACGCGGGCTCAGGGCAGCTTACAAAACACAAATATAATACAATACCACAAGTTTACCACAAATTTAAAACCAGTTAAGGCACACCGTGGACATTCACAGGATCCATCGCGATTTACGTGCTCACTCCCTATTGCACATCACATTGGGATCCATGAGGAGGATGCCATGGACCATGATGTTCCATGGTCAATCAACGCCAGCCCGGCGGTACTGCTCTGCGCTCATACGTTGGTAGTAGTGGCGGCGGCGGCTCCTACGTGAAAGCCTGGCGGAAGAGCTCCGTCTTGCAGGCCCTGCGGAACTGTAGAAGGTCCCGCAGGGCCCTGATCTCCTCCGGGAGCTCGTTCCACCAGGTAGGAGCCGCCACCAAAAAGGACCTGGCCCTTGTGGCAGCACGTCTGGCCTCCTTAGGGCCCGGGGTCACTAGGCGGTGTTGTGACCCCGACCGAAGTGCTCTTTGGGGCCTGTATGGGGAAAGGCGGTCCCTCAGGTATGCCGGACTCTGGCCATATAGTTCAGCAGTTCGAGACCCGAGTGCCGCGTGATGGAGTGAGCTCCCATCTCTGGCCCCAGCTCCTGCCAACCTAGCAGTTCGAAAGCAAGAAATGGCAAGTAGATAAATAGGTACCGCCTCAGTGGTAATGTAACAGCATTCCGTGAGCCTCGGCGTCTAGTCATGCCAGCCACATGACCACGGAAATGCCTTCGGACAGCGCCGGCTCTTCGGCTTGGAAATGATGAGCACCTTCCCCTGGAGTCAGATTCGACTGGCTTTCGAGCGAGGGAAACCTTTGCCTTTTACCTTTATCACGGGCTTGCTGTACTGTTTCCACTAACGGTCTCTGGTTTTTCTCAGCTCAGGACCCCGGGATTTCCCCTAGCCAGAGTCTCTGCGCCGAAAGCTCAAAAGCTCTGACTTCGGGATCGCTCTCGGAGAGCGGCGTGGTACCTGTCGAAGCTTGCTGCCTGGTGGTCCTGGCTACGGAGAACAAAGTAAGACGCTCCTGCCTCTGCGACTTGACAGCTCTCCCTCCACGCGGCAGGTCTGCCCTTCTGCGTTTTCCCACCAAAAGGGTCCCTGGTAGTGTCCTTCCCACGCAGACCAGACTCGCCAAATGAATGCCCACCATGCCCAGACCTGCATCTCTCACCCCTGTGGATGGTGAAAGATCCCATGTGGACTGTGAGGGAATGCAACGTTCTCTCCCGCCGTCCCGCCCTCTGTCCAAACGAAGGACAATTTCGGACACAGTCTAAAGGAGCGGAGCAGCAGGAGATGGGTCGCATGTCTCATCTCTGCACATGCCCCTTTCGGCCACTGCAATTTGGTAAACAACTTCAGTTGCTCATTAGAATATTCTGAGTTGGTTCCCAAGTCCAGAGGGATGTTGTAATGATTCCATGTTTTTTGGGGGGGTCTTTAAATGTTGAGTTTGACCGCGGTAATGTAAGGAGAGCGATAGGGGGAGATGAGTGTCCTGTGACTGGCTGCTGACTGAGAGTGTGGGAGGAGATGTTGTGAGAGGATTCTGTGTGTGTGTGTCTATGAGGGGATTCTGTGATATGAGAGAGACGAGTATGGGAGAGTTTTGAAGAGAGTCTGTGTGACTGAGTTATGAAGAGTTCTGTGTGTGAAGTCTGAAGAGACAGCATGGTCTGTGTGACTATGGAATTTTGAGTCTAATTCTGGGTGAATAAGACCAACAGTTTAGTCTGTGTGACTAAGAGAGATTATACTGAGAGTCTATGCCTGTCAGAGTGAAGTCTGAGCGACTGTTTGTAACACCAAGTTTTGCCAGTTATAGTTACAAGTTCCTTTTTTCAATAACAGTTCAAAATAACCAGAAACCTATTTTGTTCTTTATTCAATGAATCAATTTTTATTTAAGCCTATCCCAGCAATCAGTACAGTTCTTCCTCAGAGCCACATAGTCCTCTGAAGTGCCAGTCCCTTCCTCAGGGCCACGTAGTCCTCTGAAGTGCCCAGTCAATCTACCAGCAGAGAGAGAGAGAGAGATTTGGATTTTTTAATTCCTGGTGGCAACAGAAATCTACCAAGTTTAGGTACACAAAGCGTGTTTAAAGGTAAAACCATCTCCCCAATAAGCAAGGACGCCACAGAGGTCTGCGTTTTTGGGACCACATCAACACCAGGCCTGCCGTAATCCAGCAACTGAACCCACATCTGGAACGGTGGAGGATGACTTGCGCAGATAATTTTTTGGGGGGCCGTGTTGGAACGTTGCCGTCTCCCGAGCAGGTTCTCGGGCTGCCGCTAAAGGCGGGTGGGATCCCTCTCCTGTTCTTGACCCCTCTTCTCTCCTTCTCCAGGTAACGGCGGAGGAGCTCTGCTCTCTTCTCAGCCAAGTCTTCCATATTGTTTACACAGAGTCCACTATAGACTTCCTAGACAGAGCAATATTCGATGGGGCCTCCACGCCAACAAGGCATCTGTCCCTGCACAGCGGTACGAGGATCTGCACTCTGGCCGTGTCTAATGGGGTATCCTCAAGGGCTGCTCTTCCTTATCGGGGCTTGCAAGGGGTGCCGTGGCAGGCCAAGGGAGGGGCGTAGCTCAGTGGCAGAGCATCTGCTCAGCATGCAGGGGGTCCCAGGTTTGATCCCCAGCATCTCCAGTTGAAAGGAGATATGGGCAATGCTCCCTCTGAGCTGTGGAGTCTTGTGAGCAAAAATTCTACTTTGTGAGCTACTGGGCATGACAGTTGTGAGCGAGCGATTTGGCGGCTGCATAAATTAGTTTGCTTTGGAGCTATCCCTCCTGAGCTAAGACAGAAATGGGTGAGCCGGAGGCTAAAAAAGGGTGAGCTAGCTCACACTAAAGGAGCTGCGGTGGCTCAAGTGGTTAAGACGCTGAACTGCAGGCTGTGGAAGGTTGGTAGTTCAGCAGTTCAAGACCCGAGTGTGCCGCATGATGGAGTGAGCTCCCGTCTCTAGTTCCAGCTCCTGCCAACCTAGCAGTCCGAAAGCAAGAAATTGCAAGTAGATAAATAGGTACCGCTTTGGTGGGAAGGTAACAGTGTTCCGTGCGGCTTGGTGTTTAGTCATGCCGGCCACATGACCACGGAAACGTCTTCGGACAGCGCTGGCTCTTCGGCTTTGAAACGGAGATGAGCACCGCAACCCTAGAGTCGGACTCGACTGGCTTTCGAGCAAGGGAACCTTTACCTTTATCTTTAAAGCTCACACTAACTCAGCTGAGAGGGAACACTGCTCTTAACTTACTGTCCTCTCGCGCCCCTTTCCACATAGCCCATCTCTGGAATTGCTTACCCTGTTGCTCTTTCAGGGCTGTGTCATGAAGGGACGTGTGCTGGGGGTTGCTTGGAGCTTCGGGTTGAGTTTGGGCTGCTAGACTCTCCCGTCTGCTCGGCGGCGCTGTGCGCAAAGCGGAAGCTAGGGGCCAGTCATCGGTCTTTCCAGCGGCAGATGACACGGGAGGTTTTCTGTCTTGCTCTGCAGTCCACGTTCCCCCTGCCCGGTTACTGCCACACAGGGAAAGACACTCGCCTCCCTCCGGTGGACCTGATCTCCGCAGCATTGCTGCAGCATTGCACCCAGGCGTTGTCTCAGCCAATGTTCCCTCTAAGCTGCGGAGCCTTGTGAGCAAAAATTCTACTTTGTGAGCTACAGGCATTAAAGCTGTGAGCGAGCGATTTGGCTGCTGCATCAATTAGTTTGCTCTGGAGCCCTCCTTCCCGAGCAGAGACAAAAATGTGTGAGCCGGAGGCTAAAAATCTGTGAGCTTGCCCACACTAACTCAACTTAGAGGGAACACTGGTCTCAGCTGGCATTTTCCTGCAGGGAAGGCTGTTCAGAATTGGAGAAGCCAGCCGAGGCTGGGCAAGTTTGCTCTCTTCGGCATTTTCTGCCCAAGAACTACTTCACATCTGGGAAAATGAGGTGATGAAGTAACTTCATGTGGAGTACCACGTCTAGCCTCTGGGAGAGCCAGTTTGGTGTAGCGGTTAGGAGCGTGGACTCTAATCTGGGAGAACCGGGT